GTAATCCGATCAAGGCGTTAGCCATTTGTAGGACTCTATTCCTCTTTCTATCCCATAAAAGACATCAGTCTTCTAGGTAGGATGGACTGAAACAGTTTATGGCTTTAATCCCCCCAAGGGGTTTTATGCAAAGTACTTTATATAATTTTAAATAACCTTTTATTTAGACGCCCCCCCAAAAAAGTATTATGTTGAAAGAATATTTTTATGCCTTACTTATTGATTTTTACTCAAAAGACATTTTAATGTTTTGTAACTTTATATGTAGAATTACATATATTAACTTTAATTATTTTATCCTTCTGTAATCTTAATTTTTGTAAAAAAGAATTGTTTATTTCACATTAAGATTTGACCAGAGAGAGAGAGCAAGAAAGAAAGCTCCCAGATCTGGGATTCAAACCAGTCAGCCATGTGTGAGTACAACATCTTAACCATCACACCAACTGCCAGCCCTCGTAACTTTGATTATTTTATAAGTAAGCATTTGGGTTGTCATATAGCAACTATTTTTTAAAGTATCCAATTTTTTAAAACAATTTTTTCTATAGAACAAAAATATCCTATAGATTGCTCCAAAGAAATTGTTTTCTGTCTTTTATAAGATTTAGAAGCCAAGTGAAAAACTTTACACTTTATATTAACCAAAGTATTTTAACTGAAATGATGACAACTATTTTATTATACTTGTCATCATTTAACATACCATAATTCCTTCTAAGATCTAAAATTATCTGAAAATTTTATAACATCATACTTATAATCACCAGACTTATCTTTAAAAACTATATGCCTGGGCTATCTAAATACCAAAAGATACCAGAAAGTAGTTATGTATTTCCCTATTTACTTTTTATAACATGTTAAATATGTATACCATATGGATATTAGATATTTACCTTAAGTTGCTGATAACTCTGAAATCTATTTTCACTAAATTAATAGTACCAAAACTATTTCATTGTTTGATTGGTAAAACCTAGGCTGACAATTATGAAGATATCTTCAATTTTATTTTAAAATTTGTAGCAGACCTATTTACTTAAAGACATGTGAACTAGAAATCATTTGGATTAAATGCTATGAGCGCTCTTTATTTATATGCAAAATTCAATAGAATTCTTTAACGACATTGCCTCAAAAACATAACATACAACATACATAAACATGTGTATAACACAAACAAACATATAAGAGAGTTATAAAAGTATCCCTGTGTCATACTCACCCTTCCTACCTGGCTCTTGGCAACAGGAAGGTTGTTATCTTCCACTCATATCCCAGATATGCACACAGAAAATTCACCACTGGAATGGGACATGAAGTCAACATCCAGGAAGTGCATCGAGATATGGATGCTAATTCCTTCAAAGACTACTCTGGACATGTCTGATGAGATTAAATTTCTCTCCTGAGAGATATGAACGTGCAGGGGGTAAAATGCCAGAAACCAAAACAAAGAAACCAGAAACTAATGACAGACCTTCCCCTGTAAAAAAAAAAAAACGTTTTACTAACCTCCAGGTTTAATGTCAATGCTTAATCTCATGCTCAAGGCAGTTGGCTTTCTCTGGTAGCTGCCTACCCATATGCCTTTCAGGTTTAGGAGTGAATTTCCTCCCTAACAGAAATGTTTACTTTTGTACTTTTTAAAATACACCCTATAGCTAAATTTTTCCTTCCCATAGCAGCACACCTTTCAGGGGACTCACTCCTTAGAAGTTTCTTTGAGTAGCAGTAAGTAAGTTTGTCAGTGAGCTGACACTTTTCAATATGATAGCCAGCCCTTCTGCAAGTGTCTCCTCTTCTCATATAAAGTTAACTTCTCAGAAGCTGAACTAGCGTAGATAAAAATCCCCCCAAAAATCCTTCAGACACAGATGAGAAAAAAGAAAGAAACAAACAAACAAAACACTTCATCTCAGTTTTCCATTGGCAACCTATTACCCTGGGCTCATTCCCTGCCTGGGAGCTGATATTTCTTCCCTCTCCGAACTCTCCACTTCAATATTTCTTCTGTGTCCATGTCTCCATTTCTCTGTGAGTGTAAATTAAAAGAATCAAATTCACTGTTGATCTTCTACTGGACGTAGGGCCCATGCACCCCAACTTCCTGCATCATAATTTTACTGTATCATTATCTTAAAACTATGACTCCAACTTGAAAATAAAAGTTAAGACTGGGATTTAAAAAAATCTTTTATAAGGGGCTTGGAATTCAAGGTTCATTTATATTATAATGACCCACAGTAAAAGGAAAAACTTAGGCTTTAGTTATGATAAATAAGAAGACAAAGGCTGAGAGAAGACTATACCAAGTATAAATATAGATCTTAAATGAATAACAAAAATTTAAGATGTTCTACAAGATAGAAATTGCTGGCTGTGAGCAAAAGAGAAGGGAGAAAAAAAAAAAAAAAAAAAAACCAGGCCCATTGTCGGCAAAAAAAAGATTATATTATAATGACCCACAGTAAAAGGAAAAACTTAGGCTTTAGTTATGATAAATAAGAAGACAAAGGCTGAGAGAAGACTATACCAAGTATAAATATAGATCTTAAATGAATAACAAAAATTTAAGATGTTCTACAAGATAGAAATTGCTGGCTGTGAGCAAAAGAGAAGGGAGAAAAAAAAAAAAAAAAAAGACCCAGGCCTATTGCTGCCAGAAAACTGATGATTGTTTTCCACTAAAATAGAAAATGTTATCTAAGATCTTGCAATTCATGGAGGCTCAACCAGATGAACACATGCTCTTAAACTGATAAGTACATGATCAATTCAATAGAGACTTTTGTGATTAAACAAAATACAAAGATTAAATAAAACGAAACTCTAGGAGACTGGTCCTTCCAGCATGAGCTGCCCTGCTCTTTGCCCCCATAAGTTGCGACAAGGCTAGCCTTCCCTTCCTCATATTATGTGCTAAAGGTTTGGCCCATAATATCCTGAAGAGAGAACCAGATTTGAATTTGTTGACAATAACCATTATGTAGACTAATCTGCCAATGTGTATCTTTCCCAAGTTTGTTTCTGGTAAGAGAAGGAATAGGAGGGACCAGCAGTTAGCGAAATGGCTATGTCTCTGGACTCTCATGTAGTTGTCTGAGGTTCGAGTCCCGGACCCAGTGGCTTAAACGCACGTTGTCGGGCACGTGTGCATGCATGCCCAAGATCCAGAGAGGAGAATGGATTGCATCGTGGCCATCCCCCCTTGTGGGTGATTTCTCACTTTCTGTCTCTCTGTCTCTCCCTGTCTTTCTTTCTGGCTAGTGCATGTGCCCTAGAGAAAAAACCTCCCCAATAAAAAATAAAAAATAAAAAAGAGAGAGAAGGAATAAGAAAAGATAGAAATTGTCCAGACAATTTTTTCTCAAATTTATTTTTGTTAGCTTTTTATAAGGAGTTAATTTTACCACCATTTTTTAAAATAAATTTTAATACTAATTAATTTAGCAACCTTATTTTTTTAAAAAATGAGATACAGATTTTCTAATTTAGCACGCAAAAAGACTGATTTAGAAATATTACTACTGAACTCAAATCAGGTTCGCTCCCACAAGCACTATAAAACCAAACCATAGGCACATGGTGTGATGAAGGAAAGTACAGCTTTATTGCAAAGCACAAACCCACATGCATTTTTAAGGGCAAAATTAGGGACAGAGGTCCCAGCTGTATGATCAGTTCAGTGATTGGTTGAAGAGGGCGTGATCATCTTATGGGCATTCTTCATTGGTGAGGCCTTGGATAATCAAATTTCTCTTCAGGTTTCTGGAGCCATTCAGCCTGGAGTCTTTGAGCTCACAACCAGCAGTTTCCGGCCTACGAACATCTTACATATTGAAATGAAAGTCTTATCCTTCCTTAAAGTGAGAGTTTAGAGGTCAAATGGCCCTCAATCATGGTTCCTGTTGGTCATTATCATAACCAAAGTCTGAAGACTTACTCCTTACTCTGGGCCATTACAACGTTGTATATGGACCTTGTATTTCAAGAACCTTAGAAAATACATTAAGGGGTCCTTGCTTGAAGCTTCTGCCTGAGAAAATTCTAACCAAGATCACCTTTCATAATTCTTCCCATTTATCTAAATACCTGCAGGTCAAGGTGCCATAGATGTCATACATGAAGCTAGCTGTGGTACCCAAAAGGAGTCGTCCTCTTTGCTCTTTTTAAACTGTAGATGTCTTATTTCCCGTGTTTTGCCTTTTTTCTTTTTAAAATCCATTTTTAAAAGGAGAAACTGGCCTGTGGAAATCTAAGGATTTTAATGTGGTGGACCAGGGTGCAACCTTTTTTTTAGCATCTCTTCACTAAATGTCACTCTTGTGTTGAGATCACTCATCTTACATGTCTCAGTTCACTTCAAGAATTTAGCACCCTGGAAGGGGGCCCAAAACGCTTGAGTGGTCAGCTCTTATTCTGCTGTATGGACCTGTTATTAATCATTGTGCTTGGGATTCCCTATACGGCTGCTACTAGTCCTAAGAGGAGAAAATCTACCCCTCCAGACACTCCCCTATGAATCTCAGTAGCCTGGGGTGGCCTGGGGTGCCTACCAGCAGGGAGGAGCAAGTACCCTTTATCTTCAGAGCTGAGAGACTATTTCTCATTTGCCTATAAATAAGACAGTTCTGTTTCTCCAGTGCAAATGCATAGCAGTCAATTGAAGCAGTTTTCAAAGGCAAGGGAGGAACATCCTTCAGAATGCACTTTTTTTCCTGTTTGTTTTTTTTTTTTTTTAAATAATTAGTGCACTTTCATACATTTGGTTTTCCTAACTACCCACTCAGAGGGGAACAAAACACTACACCTAGATCGGAGAGAGCAAACCACTACCCTTCACTCAGAGGGGAGCAAACCCCTATCCCTCGCTCAGAGGGGACCAAACCTGGGTTACCCAAAACAGACAAACAAAAGACAAACGAGCAAAACCAGCTTAGAAATATACCACACTAGCTACCATATTATGGGAGGTCCAGGGCCAGAAGACTTACCGAATCTCCCCCAGGAGAGGCTTGGAGTCGGAGAGGGCACATGTACCAGGTTCAAAGCGACCCCTCAGAAGATCTCAGGTTCATCTCTGGTCCCTTCATGGTCATCATATTGTCAATGGAAAATAATCAACTCTAAAAAATTAATAATTGGGACCAGCAGTTAGAGTAATGGCTATGTCGCTGAACTCCCATGTAGTTGACTGCGGCTCAAGTCCTGGACCCAGTGGCTTAAACTTACGCTGGGCACGTGTGTGTGCGTGCCCAAGATCCTAAGAGGAGAAAGGAGGAGAAGGGATTGTGGGCATGGCCATCCTCCCTGGGGGGTGATTTCTCGCTTTCTGTCTTTCTGTCTCTCTCTTTCTGGTGAGCGCACATGCCCTATAGCAAAAACCTCTTAAAAAATTAATAATTAATGAAGTTTATTTCTAAGCAGAGTGAGTTTCCTAGGCCTGGAGAGAAGGCAGAACATGCCTTTTTTTGGGGTAATCAAGTACAGGGGTTCCTTTTATTGGATTTTGAAAGTAAGAGACAGAGTTTGGAATTTAGTGAAGTTTTCCATTGGTCTGACCCAAAAAGGCAGGACATGTGGAAGTGGGACTTGTAGGTTAAAGGTGGGTTTTACAACTTTTAGGGTGGTGATTACAGGTTGCTGAGATCAGAAAGGAATGTACTTTAACAGAGATAAGGAGGCTTAATATACATCACAAGATACTCCAATACTGTGCCAAGGGCAGTTTGTGGGAAGAATCTTGTTACTAATGGGCCAGAATGGTCTGTCAGCATCTGTGGGTGTGACTCCCCCAGGCCCTCTGGAAAAACAGTGAAAAGCAATCAGACTTCTGTCCACACTTTTATATTACTGGGTTGTCAGGAAAGTCATGATACATTTTTGCATAGAAAAACATACCAAAAAAAAGTCATCACTTTCCTGAGAACCCAATACATTAAAAAGAAAGTTTAGACCTCACCATGGTAGCATGTACCTGTAATACCAGCTACTCAGGAGGCTGAAGTAGAATGATCATGACATAGTAAGTCTTTGTCTAAATTAAATAAATGTTAACATTTTCTTAAACATTCAGCTTTGTTGTTTGTTTTAGAGAGATTTTCTTTCTATAGGGAACATGCACTTGCCAGAGAGACAGAAAGAGTGAGAAACAACCCCTGGGGGGATGTCTATAGATTTTGGGTACTCACACACACTTGCCTGGTGCAAGTTTTAAGCCACCAGGTCTGGGATTCAAGCCATGGTCAACTACATGAGAGTCCAGTGACATAACCATGACACCATCTGCTGGCCCCCCAAATTCAGTTTTTGCTGGATTATTTTATAATCTTTAAATTAACAACAACAACAAAAAAGCCAATTGTAGGTCTAGCATTAAATTTACATGTGTTGAATACTTTTACAAATAACTCACCTGAATTGGTGATCAGATGATAAGGTATTTTCCAGGAAATCCTAAGCATGTTCATGCACAATGACAAACAAATCTAACTTAAGACTCTTTAGAAATGGACAGATTTTTTTTGGACATTGATTGCAAAACTCATTCTTAGTTCCAAAACACTAAACAAAACATTCACCAAGCATTCTAGAATCAAGGAAATACAGAGTATAGTAGAAAATGTCTCTAGGTTTATCACCCAACTATTTGCCATAATTTCTTTCAGGAAAAACAGAAATTACACAGAAACCTCTGCTCTAAAACCTCTGGAATAACAAAAATGAGGGTCTGGCAGGTGGCGTGGTGGTAAGGTGCTGGACTCCCACATGGCCAACCACAGTTCAAGTCTTGGACCTGGCAGCTCACTCTCTCACTTTCTCTCTTTCTCTCTCTTCAATTGGCCAGCCAGGCATCTGTGAAATGGAGAATGGAAGAACAAAGGGGTCTGTACCACATGCCATCCTGCCTCACAGATCAAGCAGTGTTTTCTCTGTCTCCATAATCCAGAGGATGGACAGTGTGAATTTTTAACAGTATGCTCAAGTGTATATGACTAGGCCAAACTAGGAGGAATGAACAGAAAGTTCTTCCCTAACACTCGACTAACAGGGTCAGCCCTTTTACCATACTCTATCTAACTGCCCTCCTGGTCCATCTTCTGCCTAGCCAAAAAAAGCTTTGTGGAGAACCTTTTTGTTGGTTCAGCCCAACAGCCAGCCCTGCATCATTTTGTGTGCAAATAACCCTCATGTTGCTGGAACCGGCTTTATATGTGTGCACATGGGCCAGAAGTGCCTCAGAATTTATGTCTCCAGTCTTTAGCCTTTGGTTAATGACTCTTAGGTACAATGCTCCCAAAAAGCACATATTATATCCTGAGTTATTACGGACACCCTCTATTGCTTAGTCACCCCTAGAATCCTTGTCATATTCTGCCTTACTGTCTCAGGTATTTATACATGGAAAAGTTTCATCTTAATCCACCTGTTTTAGGTGTCTAAGAATTGATTTTCTTTGTATCAATTTAAATCCATCTCAAGTCACTGTTTCTCTGAGCTGGTGAGACATTCAATCTCAATCTTTATTTGACTCCCCTTACCTCCCTGGCTTACACCAGAATCTAGAAGTATCTTTATCAAAAAATAGGAGAGGGGTTTCTACTCTGTCGTCTACCTTGGTCCTTCTGCTGTTCTCACTGCCCAGCCTTTCTGTTCCCATGCTAAGTTGGGCTGGGGGAGTGCTGGTGAGGCAGCTCTGCCTCAGCTCTAAGTCCTGGGCCCTAGGATGGAGCATCCCTAAGACACCGTGCAGCTGTCCTCTTTGAGGTATTACCCATCATTACCCATGGCCCGACCAAGCTCCATCCTCTTCACAGTGCTCCTGAATTGCTACTTATTCTTGACCCTTAAAGGTACCCCTTTATTCTTCCTTATTTTCTTCTTATTCTAGGGCGCCTTGCATAATTTTAACAATAAGCCAGGGAGGAGAAGGGATTGCGGCGTGACCATCCCCCCTGGGGGGTGATTTCTCGCTTTCTGTCTCTCTGTCTCTCTCTGTCTTTCTGGCAAGCGCACACACCCTGTAACAATGAGCCAGGGTAGGATGGTGAGTCCATAGTAATTAACATTGTAATAAAGTACCCTGCCACTAATGCTTATGTTATCATTTCTTCCCACCAAAAATTTCCCTTCATTCCCCTCCACCCCCGCCATCCTCCATTAATACCAGCCAAGGAGTTCCACAGGGAGGGACCTATTTATTACTCATTTTATATCCTATAAAATATCTAACATGGTGAGTCTCGGTCACTGCACTTGAGAGAACAAATCCTTCCCAGCACTCCCTCTGAGTTTTTATTGATGTGTAAAATTGTTATTTGTGCTACAACTGTGTGTAAATATTGTCACAACGCCTGAGACGTGAGACGAAGCCGGTCAGGCAGTTGGATGTAGGACAGCTTTGTTGCAACTAAGGTTAGTGTGTTATCACATCAGCACCACAGAGAGGTTGCAAGAACTCTACCTCTAAGAGAGCGCAGCCAAGCCAAACCCAGCTCTGCCCTAACAGCAATCATCCCAAAGAGCAGCCCGTGGGTGACCGGAATGCTTTTATTGACTGTACGGTGGCAACTGGATTGTACTCATCGCTGGCCTAATTAGTGTCACTCTCATTCATTAGCTCACAACATCTCTCAAAAAGAGTAGTCACTGAAGTGTACCACCAAGGCCAAGACCATAAAATGGCCACTCCACTTATTCTCACCTTCTTCCTAACTAAAAAATTTTCAATATTTAGTCGTACAACAAAACTACATTGCCCAGACTGTCTTGCAGCTGTGTGTACCAGCGTTGAATCAGCCCAGGGCTAACAAGAGTGCCTATCCATGGCTACGCCTGGCTTGAAGACGTGGGGAGGAAGGATTCCTGAACTCACAGAGTAAGCAATGGCTATCCCAGGCAGCTGTTTGAGAGCCATGAGTTTCGTTAGCTTGGGATCCCAGAAGCTAATCTTGAGGCTAAGATCTGAGTACTGAGTAGTTAGTTTGGGTGGCATTCTCAGGTGGCACTGGAAGAGACGTAAGGAAGGGCAGAGGGCAGGGAAGCAGGCCAAGAGTGCCTAAATCAGCAGATCACCACCGAGCATGGAAGGGGCTCAGTCTTGACAGGCATGTCTGGGCAATGTTGGAGTACACAGCTCAGAGCTGTTCCAACTTGGGGGGCCTAAAGAGGAAGTATTTATCCACCGATTGCCATACGCTGTTGGTGTCACCTGAAGACTGCAGCTGTCCAGCACCATGGCCAGGCCGACATGTATCAGGGCCAGAGAAAAACCTGAGGCACAGGGTGTTTTCAAAAGAAGGAGCCATTGTCATGCTAAGGAACAAGGGCTGACAGAACGTGAGAGGGGAACCCACAGGGTCTACGACATCTTCATTTAAAGAGACCAGCCACTGCCACCCCCTGGCCCAGGAGGGAAAGCACTGAAGTTCACACCAGATCTCACTCTCCTCTGCCCACAGCTCCTGCGGAACTAACCAGTGGCCCTTGATGCAGTGCACTCTGGCTGGCCTTCCAGGACACAGGGCAGGGTGGAGAAGGCTGGAGAGTGAACAGAGAATATCCAGCGCATCTGCCTCAGGCACTCCAAGTTCCAGGATTTCAAATCTCAGACAGCACTGTTTGACTATGAAAATATTATGAAATGTTTATATATTAGCTAAAACAAATGAAACTGGATAAGTTCTTAGGAAAGTTACCTAAGAGTCTAAACAGTTGAAAGAGAAATCCTAAATGAGGGGAGACCTGATTTTCATTTGGGGCTCTAATAACTATTACCTATTTTCCTATGATAAACGCCAAAGCAACGTGAAATGTTCTGTAATTACGAAGAGTATGCAACTGTGAAGTGTCAATGCCTTCATTGTTCTAGACCAATAAGAAGTCAACTTTTTAAAAAAACCATTCAGGAAAGGGGCCAGTAGGTGGCCTAAAGTGGTTAAGGCACTGGACTCCCACATGGCTGACTGTGGTTCAAGTCCCAGACCTGGCAACTTGCTTTCTCACATTCTCATTTTCTCTCTCTCTCTCTCTCGCTCTTGTTCTCTGGTGAGCATATATGCCCTATGGCAAATTTTAAAAATAATAATCATGATAATAAATAAAATTAAATAATTTTTTTATTCCA